CGTGATGCACTCCACCGTTGTATTGTTTGTTTGCAAGGCGGTGCTGGGACCAGTTGGCGGGCGGCGGACGGCTGTTGCGGCTTAACGACCCGAGAAGGTAGGTCGTATTGTACGGGGTTCGTTGCTTGGTAATCCGTACAGGCCGTACACCGTACAGCCATTTTATTGGCAGTGTCAGCGGCTACTTTCTCCCATTTGCAAAACTGCATATTGGGTCAAAATTGGATTTGTAACTGATCCGGCTTATCGGCATTATCACAAGATTTGGTCGCTGCATCCTGCCGGCCTTCCGGCCCCCACCCCCTCCATGTCCCCCACGTTCCCCACGTCTTTTTCATTTCGTGTTTACTCCGTTTGCCCTCTCCGCGCACAGGCGTGTGGTTGAGGCTAAGGCTGACGTACTGCCTCATCGATGAGGCGACCGCCGCATTTCGGCTGCCGACCCCTCAGGAACTCGATCGTGCACAGGTAAAGGCTGACGTACTTCTGCAGGAGGGTAGGATTCGGGCTGGAATTAGGGAAGAGCTCTGTCGCAGAATTAGCCTGGATTTTATTCCTGACAAAAGAATTGGTCTGCCGAGGTCTGGAATTGTTCTGGCGGACCCGCCGGAGGTATTCGAATTGCGCTGTGGAGCCTCGGAATTGGGCTGTGCTGCGCCTGAATTGGCCTGTCCGGGTGTCGAATTGGCCTGTCCGGGTGCCGAATTGGCCTAACAGGGTATTGAATTAGCCTGACAGGGTATCGAATTGACCTGTTCGGGGTGTCAGATTGGCCTGACAGGGTATCGAATTAGCCTGACAGGGTGTCGAATTGGCTGTCAAGTTGGCAGGATTGGCCGGGGCTGGCATCCAAAAGCACATGACTTTTAAGGAATTTACAGAAAAACTTTGCAAGAGGACCGCTTACAAGTGCCTCATGTGTGTATTAGATTCGATCCCACGACATGGAGTGGAAAAACTTGCACACCTGGTTACCGTACTCTGGCACTACTACTACTACCGGAGGCAAGCACTCAGGGCCACGACTGCATTACCCAGTCAAGTCAGCTGCCGAGGTCCCACTGTTTTCCCACCACACTTTATCGACAGTCCGTCCAGTTTATCCCACAACACTCGTACACATGAATAGGTTCGGGTGGAAACAATGACAAATCTCTGATAAACCGCTAAACTCAGTACCACGAGCTACATTGAAAACAAATGAAAATGCAGATGTCTGCCGAGAAGAATATTTCGCCATATGCAATCTA